ATACATGTGATACGGTCACACTTCCGCTTTAACCCGAATCACCTCACATGATTCTACTCCGCTTTAGCCTACCCCTAAATATGGTTAATTGGTATGCAAATTGTAACTTTAACCATGGTGTATTTTGTGATCAATTAAACCGACAATTTATCGGATAAATTTTATCCGAAATAATATTCCGTACACGATCAGCTATCACGTTGACTCCTCATGATCGACTTTGTATGCACGTTGTTGGAAGTTTTTTTTTCTATTTTTTTTATTTATTGATTTTTTTATTCTTTCTTGTCATATTTTATTATTTATTATTATTAATTTATTCATTGTTTATTAGTAGTTATTGTATTAGCTTTAGAATTGCTCTATATATGTTTAGTTCCATTTCTATTTTTATAGTTAGTTATTTAGAGAATAGTATTAGAATTCAAATTAATTATAATAGAATTAAGGATCAAAAGACCCCAAGTGGTGTCTTGATCATCTTGAACCCCAGTTGAGGTCTTTAATTAAAGAGACCCCAGGTGAGGTTTGTTTATCCTTAGACCTCAGAGTAGGCATTAGAACCCCAAGTGAGATTCTTAGACCCCAGTATAGAAATGTATATAAGGACAAGAGAAATTACCTTGTCTTGGACAGTTTGTAAAGTTCATACAATTCCTATTTCTTTTATTTTAATAAAACCGACAAATTACTTTATACTTTTGTCTTAAAGTGTTTCTGAAATAACCAAAGGAACCCTGTATACCCAAACTCACCTTTTCTTATTTTATTTTGATTTATTGATTTAGATTAATTTTAGTTTATAGTTATTTTAAATTTATTTGATTATTGATTTAGTTATTTGATTTGATTTAGTATTTTTATTTATTGATTAGTTATAGTTATTTATATTAGTTGGTTAATTATTTAGATAAATTGACATTATTCTTGTTTAATTGAATTCTTTCTATATTTTATATTTTTATCTTTAATATTTATAATCATTCACATAATTTAACCAACACAAGTTCACTACCAAGCTAAACCACTATAATTTAGTAAAGCTTGCTCTCCCATGTAGTAACAACGTAAAATATATGATCGATTTTAAATTTTTTCTTCGTACGTGGTATATAGTTATTTAAAATTCTTCTTACCTGTTTTTTTACTGACTTTAGGATCAAGATCGATTAATTTCTTGTGGCATCTTCGGTTAGAGCGTCCCTTTACAGCTACAGTCTTATATTCACATTAAACTTCTGGATCTGAATTGGAGAAATAAGAAGTGCTTGAGGAAGCAAAGCTTACTCATTGGAGGGATCACGTATTAACCCAGGTTTGCATCTTGTCTTTAGATCTTTTACTCAAATTCGATTGCTTTTAGTCTTGAATAAATATTAATTTAATGAAAAAATAATTAATTAATATAATTTAAAATTACCAAAGGTTAGGTTTAATTTAGTTATTTTTTTAGTGATTGGAATATAAAAAATTTTATTACTCAAATGATATTAAATTAAATTCAACCTAACCGTATATATAGCAATATTATGCAATCTTTTAAGGGCACAGAAGAGGTAAGAGTTAGAGAAAATTATAATATTTTGATAATAGGTAAATATAAAAAGATTAAAATGTGAATAATTAATCCATTAGTTGTAGGTCGTATAGTTAGTCAGTTAGTTGAATGTGTAAAAAAAAATAAAAGTTTTTGATATATATTATTTTTATGTAGGTGATGTGCATATGTATAAAGAGCTAAGTTTAATATATAATAGCGTCTGACTTTACGTCACATAAATTTTTATGGTCGTTCGGGAATAACGTTTGCTTCAGAAATGTACAGGAAAAGACATGAGTTCATGTTGTTTCAAGAATGAACGAATAGAACATCATATGTTGAGTTTTGTGTTTAAAAAAATCATCTCTTAAATATAATATTATTATTGAATAGATTATCGCTCTTGACTTTATCATTTTCGATCCATTTTTTACATTCTGACTTACATCAAACAAATGAGAATTTTATTTAATAAATGAATTATGCAAAGATACAAATAACATATATAAATATAAGAAAAAGAGATATTACTGACCAATAAGTAAAATGGACTCAAATGAAATATAGTTTCAATAATACTAATAGTTTTCATTCGTGTACGTAAAATATCTGATCCGATGGAACATAATTTTGTGAAAATATTCTATAAACTAAAAAAAAAAAAAGAAGTAACATGCGCCAATTTGTTAACTCATGTTATCATGTAATATTGTTGAGCTTCAATGTTTCAAATATAAATTGAAAATGAATGTCCTTTAAAGATATTCAGAATCATTAAATAATGAAATAATGGAACACACCAATTATTAAGATAAAGATTATATTTAAAGAATAATAAATAAATAAGATAAGTATTATTATTATTACTCGAAATTTAATTATTCAATTCTATTTCCATCATCACCACCTCATTACAACAGCATTTTACATTATCTGCAAAACGTTATTATGATTAACCAATCACTCTTTAACTTCATTTATCCTTAAGATGTATCAAATAACAGTTCTAATGAATTTATAATACTTTAACTAACCACCTTTGTCCCAATTTAACTTTATTTTTATCTCCTTCCACGATTTCTTATTCTAAAAAATTTAGTTAATTTCGTTATTTTAACTCAACCTAGCATTATCACTTGTCCCGTGAATAATCCTATAAAATAATTCCATAATATTAACAACAATAATAATAATAATTACACGAAAATTATTAAACCAATTTACCTTCAATTTCTTTATGAATTTAAAAAGTTTTAAATTATTTTTTGAACATTGTCAATGTTATCAATTGAACATGATCGAAATGTTAAATAAAAATATGAATAATTAGAAATTTTAAGGAAGATCGAAAATGAATATTAGAAGTAATTGTAGTGGTGGGAAGTATAATAATTGCAATTAATAATTATTATTATTATATTAATTATAATGATAACAATATATTGAATCAATAAACTTCAAAAATTGGAATAGAAAAAGTTAAAATAAAATAAAATATTCGTGTAGTGAATATTTGAAAATAAAGAATTTTCTCCCCCCGAGAAATAAAATTTGTCTCTTTTTTATGTAAATTTTTTGTAGAATTTTCAATATAAATAACAATTTCTCTACTCAATTGAACTAATCATATTATTACAGCGAGTGAGTATTAGATTCATAATTATTGAAATCAATTTTTCAATATTATATATAACAATTCTTCAATATCATATAACATAATTCTCTTATCAATTATAAACTAATTAATATACAGTATATTATATTACAATGAGTGAGTATCTTCGATAAAATTATTTAAAATATAAAATAAATGCAAAATAACTTTGATTGATGTAAAAAAAGAAATCAATCGTTCAAATAATAATATAAAATAGTACAAAGATGACTTTAATCAAAATAGTTTATAATAAAAAAAAAATATTAAATAATGAAATTCAAAGTTTCAATATTGAAAGAATCGGAACAAATATAGTAAGAAATAAATTTAATCATGAAACCGCGAGCCCAACCCTATACTCTTAATCAACTAAAGTTAAAATAAAATAAAATAAAAAATAAATATAAATAAATAAATTTATAAAGTATAGAATGAAATCATAATTAAGAATCTTAAGAATCTTTTGAGTCATCAACATTATTAAAAGATAGTTTCTCAAATTCTATAACTTTGCAATAATTATTTTCTTAAATAAATATTAATAATTATTATTATTAATATATTAAAAAATAATAAAATATTACCTTCAGGGATTACAAAATCAAATTTAGTTTCATATGCTAAATATAAATATATTAATAAGGATTAAATTGGGAATTCTATAAAGATGATGAAAAATTAATTAAATTAATTAATAAAATAAAATAAATAAAAAAATAAATTTTAAAAATATCTTACCTTCTATAAAATTTCTAGGTTTGACTGAAATGTTAAAGGTATATACTCTACTGATTTGAATTTTTTGGCTACTTTTAATTTTCATTAAACTTGATTGGGAAAAATTTGATTTCGAACTGTTAGATTGAATAGTTGATTCTTGTTTATCCATTTCATTATTATATAATGGGTGTGTTCACATGCGGATTGGATTTAGTTGAAGTTGCACAAGACATGTTCACATGTTTTGGATTGGATTGCGAAATCCAAAATCCAATCCAGATTGGATTATAACTGATTAAATATCAATCTATCTCGCGAGGTAGATTCATGTTAATTTTTTTTTAATTTTTTTAATATTCTTATAAAAAATAGAAGAAAATCATATTTTTGTCAATGAAATTTTTGATATAGAAAATCAGTCTTCTACACTTTCTTCATGTAAAAATAAAGGAAGAAAGTAAACTACCAAGTGGGATACCAATTCTACTAAAGCACTTAAATTTTTTGGCACAATCTTAAACAAGTCACGTGGTTGAACCAACCACTTTGGCTAGAGTATGGTGACCATTTAAAAAAACAATATGATATTACATATTCCCAAGAACAGTGTAAATAAACTTAAAAATTTAACAGCATCACATAAGGTATTTTTAATATTTGTAAATTTCTTTATAATTGAATAAAATAATTAATTATTTTATATAGAAAGTAAAAGATTCTGAAAGGCAAAGTGGTGGAGCACCTGTAGTTATATCTTTTAGAACTGAACTTGATGATATTTTGGATGAAATAGGGCTACATTCAAACCAGTTACTCTTATTTCCTCAGCAAGTACTGAAAATACTGAAATTACTATTAATAAACAAACTAAAAAATGTTCATTACCAGTAACTTCAACTGAAACATCAACCTTGATAGAATCAAATGATGAAGATAGTGAAAATGAACCTGAACCAACATCTAAAAAATTTGCTAAAATAGCAACAGATACTCAAAAATGTATCAAAATTCTTGAAAACCTTTATCTATGAAAAATAATCAAAGATGATGAAAAAAAAGAAATAAGAAAACAAAGAGCCAAAGAAAAAGCTAGAAGATATGAAGAAAGATGCAAATTAATGTCACTTCTTATCAATATAAGTTATTTAAAAAATATTTTATTTCATATTTTAATATTATAAAATTTTATTAATATGTTTATTTTTTAGGACAACCACA